CCTTCCCTTTCTGAGCGCGTCAGGCTGTGGTAGCTGCTGGAAGTCGTCCTGTGCGTGACGCTGCCTGACGCGAGGGAGAGAGTTTGCTGGGTGCAAGCGCGTGCTCTGGAGACGCTGCTAGGTTAAACGGGTGGCAGGTGTTTGGCCGCTGACCTTCTTTCCCCCTGTGGTTCTTCTGCAGAGCTGGCAGTTCTGGAGGCTGCTCTACGCTCTTCTGAAACAAATCCACGGAGGGAAGCGGACCGAGTCTGATGCCCTAGGTAACCTGTTCAGCTCAGCTGACTCTGGGATTTTTGTCCTTTTCAAGGAGCCGCTGCAGCTGGTTTTGTGGTACTTTTTCTTTGACTGGTTGCTCCCCTGCTAGGGGTGCTCCAGCACTTTGGTTTATGCCACCAACTCTTGCAGCACAGGCGCGCAGGCAGGATTGTTCCTATTCGGCTTGTTTTGTACATACTAATGAAGTTTTAGGCAGCAAAACTGGATGTTTTTGCATCTGCTAGGGGCTCTTGCTTCCCTTGGGCTTTTCACTGCAGGCACAGTTAAACTCTGGACTGACCTTATGCATTCTCAGTGTTTGCAGAGATAGTTACAGAAGACAGATTTACTTTCCTTTTGATCCCTTCTTCTTTCCCCGTTCCACATATGATGCTTAATTCTGTTGTTAATTTTCTGCCAAGTCCTAATTCAGGACTATGGATTATAATCTGACCCGTAAAGGCAGTGTCCTGGGTCCAAGTTCTAGACAGAAGTGATAAATGGGTGTGATTATTTTAGCGGGGCCATGAATGGGCAAGGCCTCTATTGCAGAGAGAAACTTTATGCAGGTTGGCTACTTACAATGGCAAAGTGCTACTTGCTACTTAAATATATGTTATTCCAAATGTGATACTACTCCCCAGGCTTTTGTCTCCCTTCAAGGATATCTGTGTATGGCCCTTTCACTGTGGGAGGAAGTTTTAAGCCTGGGGTCCTCTCTGACAGATATAGGTCTCCTCAAGCCTAAGCCACGTAAAACTGGCACTTGAAAACCAGTAAAGCTAAACTACATCGTTTGAGCTCCTGAAGAGCTAGGGATCTGATGGCTGTGGAAACAGTAAAAAGGAACAAAAAGGCTAAACATTTTGCCTGGAATCTCTCAAGGAAAGTGGTGCAAATCCAGCGTAGTTTTGCTGGCAGTTCAGAAGGAAATTAGCAAGGTATTGTGTTACTCACAGGACTGTTATTTCTCTTCCTGTTGTTTTTGCTTCTCCACTTATCCACAGTCTGCTCCGTGCAGCTGTATGGTAAGTAAGTTTATGGGCTGATCCTGTTATGTAAGTGAATTTTAGGGAAGATTAAAGTTTGCTTTAAATAGAAGGACCGTTAGTTATTCTCTTGTTATGGTTGTAACGCAGTATCTTTCAGAAAAGCATTCAGCATTATATTTTCCAATGGTTGATATACTTTGTTGCCCAAATAGCAGAAAATACAATATTTGAAGAATCACATATTAAAAAAAAATTCCATACAGATTGATGTATTAAAATGTAGCAACTATTGTATTCTTGCAAAAACAAACCAGAAACTCTGCTGAAGTCTCCCAGTCAGTCATTATAAAGTTTTGCAAATGACCCTTTTGTTTTTTTGTTTTGAAAGAAATTTTTCTTCATGCAATAAAAAGTGCTTATCTTAATCTTCTATGGGAAGCAGTTTGTGTACTCCAGCCACTTAAACGTGTCGGAACAGTGGATTTCTCACTGGTAGAGTACAAGACAAACTAAGCTGCGTAATGGTACTCTGGGCATAGATGAAGTAGTGATTTGTGTTTTCATGCTGCTCTTTCCTCAAAGAGATTGAGAACTGATGGAGTTGATTAACAGCCACACTATACAGCAGTGCAATATGCATTTTGATGGGTGAGGATTTTTTTTTTTGCCCAGAGTTGTAATTGAGTTTTTATTATATGAGAAAGAGGTCTAGAGTTGCAATACATTTGTGTTTGTTTGACAAATGAAGCAGAAACTGTTCTTCTGCGTCAGTAGTTTCCCGTAATACCACTACCTCTGCAGGTGTTTCTTGCTTGAGTTCATAAAGTGTTGTATCTACGTCTGTTCTTGTTCTTGTTTTAGGTCCTTTCCATCTTAGGATCTGCTTAAACCATCCATCTTCTTAAACTAGATTAATGTAAACCCTTACTAGAATTTCATGTTGTAATTCACTCAAAATATTCTGCAGGACTTATGAAGCAGAAGAGCACAGCTTGAGCATAGTTTTAAGAGAGGTGAACCTTGAGGTTCAACCATAGCTTGGTCTTTCTTGCTGAACATGCTTTTGTAAACCGTATGTGCATGTGGAAGGGGATTTGTTGGAAGGATTCAGTAGGTCTTTCTGTATACATTGCATAATCCTACTGAAGGACCATAAGAAAATGCAGGCGAAGAAGAGGTGTTTGAGTGATTTGCGTCATCTGCTATCTGAGTGGTGTTTTTTTTAGGCTGCACAGTTTGGAAGAATCTGTCTCGCTCTTGCTTACCTACATAGCTTCCACTGCCACTTTAGCTGTGTACCTTTGTGTTGTGAGGTGGAGAACTGTAGAGATGAGGAAAACTAGGTGCCTTCTAAAAGGTCATGGAAAGGCTCTGTGGCTATCCCCAGTCCCAGGTCTGTACTTGGACTGCTCACCCGCAATTTCTGCCTGATAGCCGCACCAGTCATACCTTCTCTGGTGTAGTGGCTGTGTGTTGCAGAGGGAAAGCTGAAATAGGAGGAGATTAAGGAGAATAAGGACCAGAACCACACAGAAATGCAGGTGGCTAATTGCCTTGCTGAATCTGGCCCTGAGTAACCTGTCAGACCAGGGCAGTGGCAATAAAGGAAAAAAGCTAGCTTGCTCTTTGTATTCCTTCTTTTTAGTTTGTGATTTCTCAGAGAGCTGCCTGAACTCTAGATGGCAGCATGTGGTGCTGCTTTGGTTTGAGAGAGGGGGAAAAGAGGTGCTGATCTTCTGTCCTTCTGAAGTATTTCTGACTTCACCTGTTATCCTGGTTAGGGCAGTTCCTTTCTTGTCATTGACACATGCACAAACGAAAGGAAAAGGCAACGTGAAAACCCAGCTAATGTGAGAATGTTCAAGAGCGATCAAAATACAATCTCTAAGATTTGAATGCGTCCTCTGTGTATAAGCGATTGGAGTGCATCTCTACAGCAGGATTCCCTCTGTTTCATCTAGATTCCTTTCTTGATTTCTAGTAATCAGTTTGCTTCTGGAGTGCAACTGAGAACTGAGCTTGATATTTTCATGGAACTGTTATAGTACAAGGTTGTCTTCCAGAGTGCAGTGATCAGCTCTGAACCCATTGCTCTGTCAGTAAATTTAGGATTTTTTTTTTTTTTGCTGAGTGCATCAGTTCTCATTTTTTTCCTAAATGGAATTTTATCTGTTATTTTAGCGCTCTGCAATTCTTCACAATCTGCTTGCGTTCATTACTGCTGAGTAACCTTACATCAGCAGTGAGCTTTCTGTCCCTATCGCATTGCCTTTGAGCCATTTTTTGTTGGTGGAACAACAGATGTTTAGCACAGAGCCATCATGTGAAAGCACCATGTGTTCCTACCCTCAGATTCTTGTCTGCTGGTCGCTCTTGTGTCACTGATGCAAAGGCCTTTCCTCTCCCACCCCAGCGGCTTAATTTCTTTGTTGTTGTTTTTCTTATTGAATGCCTTTGGGAAATCTAAATGGCCTGTGTCAGTTGAATCTTCCTTAATCACTTGCTTGTTGTTGCCTTAGGAGAACCCCATTACCTTTTGGAATAGTACTTCTTTTTTCAGAAGCTGTGATTCTTCCCTAGTATATATTGTTTATCATTGTGTCCACTAATTATGTTCTTTATTATAGTTTTGACGGATCTACCCAGTACAGTTCTCAGGCTTATTGGTCAGAACCCTTTTTTTATAATAGATTTAATTTTATCTTTTTTTCCCCAGTGTTTTACAGTTGTGTAGCGCCTGTCTTGTGGCCGTCAGATAAAATTTGTTGGTATGAAGGAATATGGAGCAGAGCATTACTGAGAACAAAATAGCCCATGCAGTCTGGTATGCAGTGAGGTATACTGGTGCTCAGAGACTTTCCACAGGCTGTGAAACTCCTGTGTCTAAATTTCAGTTTCATTCAGGAGTAAATCGACCCAGAGTATTTACTAATTCAAAGCCTATTTGGTGGCTCATATAAAATGAGTAGGTGATTTGGAGTCCTGTTCTAGTGAGGATGCTTATTTACCCTGGTTACGTTTATTAATATCCAAGAGGCCATTACTGGCCTCGATTCAAACTCTGAATTTCTTTCTTTCCCTCAGCAGTGGCTCCTGCAGATCAGAACGGGCAGAGGAAGGAAGGCTTTTACCCTTTACCCCCTATCCTTTATCAGTCGTTGATAAAGCACAGAACTGTAGTCTCCACTGTCTTCCACTAATCTCCGGCTTGATTCAAGATCCCTGCTCTCAGAGAATGCAGCAGTTTCTGGAACTCAGTGGGTAAATGTATTAAGTAGCACAGTGTGATGTACTTAATTGTTTTCTCCTTTTCAGATATCCAGATTAGGTTTGTAAAATCAGCGTTGTGGTACCATGGCTATGGCAGGCCAGAACTCTATCGGCTCCCTTCCGATGGCTCAGCGGGCAGTCGGGAGCTGCTGCTGGCGTTTTCCTGGCTGCTGCACAGAATCAGTCTGTTGGAGCAGCTGCTGGCTCGGAACAGAATTAGGACTGGGGATGAAACCTCTGTGTGCACGGTGAGCATGTTTGTGTTTTTCCACCTCATCCATCTGTAAGTAATGTTCTGTGAGAGCAGCCATGCTATCGCTGGTGTGTGTTACCTGATGTGCGGTATCTTGGTACCTCTAAAAATTAATGCCTTGCCCTAGCTTTGAAAAAAACTTTAAAGGGACCGTGTGTAATCCTTTCTCCTTCCCTTCTCTACCCCAGTGCACACCTTTTTTTATGCAAGCGACCTAGGTTCCTTTTCTTTCCCAAACTCCAACCCCTGTGTGAATGCCCTGACTTATTCTTGCCATATAGATGAGACCAGTCTGGAGGACTGCAAATAAGCAAATATTTGTGATCTCTGTGGTTCTGGGTTGTATGCTTCCAGAGTGTAGGCACCTGTGGTTCTACAGTGTAGGCAAAGAGGTTAGCTGTGAATGCTGGGTCTGTTGGCGTGGGGTGATAGAACGAGTAATCTTAAGGCAAACAGTGTGTTTTTTAAAACATCTAGATCTTACGTGGCAGCTACTGCTCTTTGGGTAACTAATGACCTTGTAGCGTCCTTGACAGAACAGTGCGATATATTGTTGTGTTTCCATAAAAAGATATTAGCATATAGAATGCATGCTCTGAAGTAAGCTAAGGATAGCTGTCTCTGCCATAGCTGTAATACACATAGTGGTCAGAAAAAAAAGCACAGCCTAATAACTTCCAGTGATATTCCTTTTAAAACCTATTATTTGGATTTGAATATCACATGCACATGATAGATGGTTTTTCCATATCTGTATCAGACTGGTAACAAGTAAACTGTGCCTGCTCGTAATGCTAAAGATCACATAGCTGAATTTAAACTGGTCAGTGCAACGTGTTAGTGTGGCCAAGGCCCCTCTAGATGGTTGTGAGTTTGCTATAAATCATCTTGGTCTAGTTAGACAGTAATTACTGTTAAGTCTGATTCTAAATGACAGGCTCTCAGAATTGTTTCTTTCCTTGGACAAGAACATTGTAGTTCAGAAGCGCCGCCTGCTGATATCTAGCAAAGGTTTAAGATCTTTTGATCTTCATTGTCATGCATACATGCTCCTCCAGACTGTAGGCTGCCTAGATTTCTCAAATAAAGTTTTTGAGGGTATGACAAAGCAGGAAAGCAAGGAACGCAGGTGATCTCAAGAAATTATCAACTAGCAGCAGCTTTGTTTTAAACAAATGCTTGCGAGTTAGAGGCCGTGCAGTTATAGCTGCTTCTGTGGCTGGCCCCTCTGCTAGGAGCAGAACCTCTGACTCCTAGGGAGAGGAGAATTTCCACCTGTATTCCAGCACATGCTCCTTCTGCCTGTTTGGCTTAGTCTCCACACACTACCTCCTCAGCCTGCCCTGTGCAGAAATCTGTTCTCTCATGAGGGAAATTACAAGCCAAGAGTCAACTTGAAGCCCAAAATGTGAGACCTAGTTTGTCGATATCAGGAAGGCTAGTAGTAGCCTTTGTATTTTACTGCTGAAGGTGGAATGGCCGCAAGAGCTTGCGGTTGCGTGCACGTGAGGAGGAGGTATTTGGATGGGCTTGATGTTAATTGCAGAGACTTTGGAAAGTGAAAATATAAATGCACTGTCTTCAGAAGGAAAAATCTGTATAAATGGAAAAAAATTGAAGGGAAGAGTCTCCTGTAAAATCATTATAAACTGTATTTTGAGATAACAGACTGCATCTGTGACTTTAGAATTGTCTACTACATGAAAGTGCGTATGAGCTGCAGGTAGTGTTTGGTGCGAGTAGTGGTGCCCTCCAGTGATGTGAAGGGCACCTAGAGGCCTTAGAAGAAACCCACTTCTGGCGAACTTTTTACTTTAAATTTCTCCTGCTTTTTAAAATGTTTTTGTTGTGTAGTAGCAGATTATTTAATTTTTTTAAAAATTTTTATTACAAAAGAATGACAAGTGAATTGTAGCAGCATCATGAATTCAGGAAATGGGGCAGCACCTATATTATTTCCTCTGAAGGATTAATTTTTGAATTTTCAAAATGAGATGATAGTTCTATGGTAATACAATGTTATCTCTTATGCCCACACAGAGACACATTAAGCAAAGTATTGCAGTCCCTTTTACCGCAATTCTACTGTATTCCACCTGTGTTTCTTAAAAAGCATGGAATACGTATTTCATGTTTTTTGTCCAGTAACTGTCCAGAGCAGTGTTTGGAAGGTTTACAGATCTGGAAATATTTTTGTCAGCGGGCCTTATAAAACTTGCAGACTGGGGTTTGGTGTATGTATGTAAAACTCATTGTATTAATGGTAACAATTCTTGTTTAGCGTGCATGTAGAAGGTTTCGATACTCTAATAAAAATGATGATCTTAGGGAAAAATTTTAGAATGTAGTTATAGCTGAGGCTAGGTAAGTAGTGTTTTGCGATTCTACATCACGAGAGGGTAAAGAGAACAGAATTTTCAGGGAGAGATCTTATTTTTTGGAGCAGCTAGGCATTACAAAACTAATAAATTCAACCAATAAAACCCAACCAAGTTAAGGTCTAGAGTTAATGGAGGTAATGATACTGTGAAGGGGAAAGGTAGGTGGTTACGCACAGGTCCTGTTGGTTCATAAGTCAGTTCCTTGTAAACTGCTTGTGAAAGCATGTTGGTTGTTGCATAAAAGTGGGATAGTTACCATATTGGTATTGTATGGCATAGCTTCATATGGCACTGAGTACTCATTGGTCAGATACTGTTCAAGACTGTAGCCCCTAAAGTCATAGGAAGGAAGGAAAGGAGATGAGGTTGTCAGTTTGATGCCTGACATTGCATGACTTAAACTACAGTGTGAATAATTGCAGTGCTGGGATTCTGACTCTGTGTGAATGTTAAATACTAAGCATTTTAGATGCTTAAGCTGAAGCGTTCTTGAAAGACACATAACCAATTGTAAAGCCTTTGCAAAACATGCAAAAGATGTACATCGTAGTCCTGATTCTCTTCCATTTAAGTAAATTGACAGAAAAAGGCAAAAGTACTTTAAAAAAATTTTACTAGAGAAAGAGCTGACTTGAAAAAGAAGAAAGGAAAAGAAATACTCTTTAAAAAAACTGAACTGCGAAAGATCCTGAGAAATGTTCCACCACATGGAGTCTTTTTCAAAAGATTATTAGCAATTGAAATATTTTCCTGAAATGACAAAGCTCCAGAACAGAAATCAGTGACATAGTATTTGGTTCTGTTCATTGCTGAGATCTCTGCCAAAACCAGCAAAGCATGAGAGGGTATACTTACCAGCAAAGCGCATTTATAGATGTACTAAAGAGAATAAACGTGAAAAGAATGCTTCTCCGTTGTCTTAATCTGAAAAAAATGGATTGTCAAGAATTGTAAGTATAACTGCTAGTCCAAACTGAAATCTGTGTGGTTTGTTTTTTAAATCTTGTCAGAAATCCACGAAAGCGGGCACAGGCTGTTGTGTGAAGAAGAGAGAATGCAGCTAATCCCTACATTACGGGTGCAACGATGTTCTGACTATTCTTTCAGGCTAAGTTTGAAACAAAGCCTGCAGCCCGCTAAATAGCTCATAATATGCCAAATACCCAACATATCAAGGGCAAATTAATTTAATTCCTTTCACTTCATGTCAGATTAACACTCTGTGGCCTTTTCTTTGCAGTTCCTTAGCAACACAGTTTTCTTCCCCTGCAAATTGAACTCTTCCATAGCTCTAAAGGCTTTCAGGCCAATTATTTGTAGAGGCAAGGGTACTCATGACACATGATGGACATGGAGGCCAGCTGCTGCAAGAAATTCATGGTCTTGAAATCCTGAGCTAGCAAACACATCCACCAACTTAATCTTACATGCAAGTACATTTTAAGGATCAGAAGTTAAGTGTTTCCTAGAATTATAAACTAAACAGTGTGATTTCTAGTTCATTTTTTTGGACGGACAGTGCTGCAGTGCCTCTCCCAAGCCACAGTCCTAGGTGCCTACTGCAGGATGTCCCAAATAGTAGGGCTGAAGGAGCCACTCCCCTCTGTAGCCCCTCTGCTGTCTCCCTCTGCTCTCTTCCAGCATATGAAGCTCATAAACTGAGGTGGGAGACAGTTGAAAGAGCTAACCAGAGCCTAGGTTGCTGTGGGGAGGAATAGGAGAGGGAAGATGGGGTAGGTAATAAAGGTCAAACCCCACTCTCGGGCTGCTTTAGTGCAAGTCTGTTTTGTGATTTTACTATTCTCATCTGTCAGCAGGCTGATGACTTCAGAGACAGTAAGTGAAAGCTCAGATGTTGCTTTGGACAACCCATTAGAAAAAAATCACTGATTCAATTACTTCTGTAAAGACTTGCATACGATCCATGTTGGAGGTTCACACAGATTTACTGAAATATCTGCTTGGGAATTCTTGTTTCTTGTTATTGCCTTAAATGGCAGGGCAATTAATTGTTGGATGCGGTCTTCAAAGACTTTTCACACCTAGTGTGGATTTCTATCTCAGATATGCAAGTGTAGCAATGTTGGTCTCGATCTTTTGTTGCTTTTGGTGCTGTGTATGATCCCATACATGCAGATTATTCTCAAGTGCCATTTATTGCTTCCTGTTAACACATTGGTATTCTAGAGTACAGGAGAAATTACAAAACACATCTGAAAACTGGTGTGTGAAACACTTTATAAGGAACTACCAGTGACAAGTCCTACTTAATTTGACAGGGTAATGGCCTTGTACCAGACTGATTGTTCCTCTTGGATTTATTCCTGCACGGTTGGCAGGTTTTCTAAGCTATCCCAAAGTGTTTATGAAAATTCACAAACAAACCCTGTGCTTTTGCAACTGCCCGCTTAGGCAGCAATGGGCAGATTCAGACTTCTTAATCTTGTGAGGTATAGGTTCTGTACTGAAACCAGTGCTCTTGGTTCCTTTGGAGGAACTCCACCGGTAATGATCTTAGTCTTTTCTTAAGTTATATGCTTTGTCATCTACTGACAGGTTGTTGACCGAAGCTGGTATGACTGTATGCCAGACAAATCTTGGAGAATGTGTATGG